GTTTCTAACTATCTCTCTACCTTCCTCTCTGTACAAAATCAATAAAATATATATTTAAAAAAAAGCTATAGATATATTACTTCATTAAACCCTTACAACAACCATACAAGGTGGGTAGTTATCTCCACTTTTTTTTACAATATATTTTATTGATTTTTTACAGGGGAAGAGAAAGGGACAGAGAGCTAGAAATATCGATGGGAAAGAATCACTAATCAGCTGCCTCCTGCAAACCCCCTACTGGGGATGTGCCCTTGACCTGAATCAAACCTGGGACCCTTCAGTTCGCAGGCCAACGCTCTATCCACTGAGCCAAACCAGTTTCGGCTGTTATCTTCACTTTCAAGACAAGGAAACAAAGAGGTTAAATGACTTGCCCAAGGTCACATAGCCATGAAGTGACAAGGCTGGGATTTGATTCCCCAGAATATGTGCTTTTAAAGTAGGCTGAAGCCTATCTTTTAAGAGCTTGAAACTTTGGACTTTATCTTGTACTGCAGGAGAACTTTAAAAAATTTGAGCAGGAAATAATTTGAGAAGGGAAGAGACCACGGAGGGTAAAAATGTCTTCGCAGATCCCTCAAACTTATTGAGCGACTTCTGTGTGGTGGGCACTGGCAATGCAAAGAGCAAGACAGAGGCTTTGCCCTCGGAAGCATGCAGTTCAGTGGGAGGCGTGGAGGTGGCTGGGGCTGGTTCACTCTGGCTCTCTGGAGCCCATTGTTTGCCTCTTCCCAGATGATCAGTGACAGCACACTGGTAGCTTGGAATCGACCATGGTGGGAGTGCTTATACCGTGGAAATTGGCCAGTGCTGCAAATTAGGGCTTTCCCCCCCAGAATCGGTGGTTAAATATTTAGCAGCACCACACTGGTAATGAACAACTGCATTATGACACATGACCTTCTCAGGTACAGGTTGGCACAAAGGGGATTGGGGGTAACTCTGCTTGGTGAGCTAAGGAGGCAAGGCTCATGCAGTGTTGAAAGATGAGTGATACTTGCTATGAAGACAAAGTAGTAAAGGGCAGCTCGCCAGAGGTGTGGAATGGCCTGGCGTATTCTATGGTTCCATGAAAGGAAACTGGATGTAAAGGAGGTTGGCAACTTATGAGGTGCCGAGTAAAAGGGTGCTTATTTAACAAATCCAATATTGGATTTATAAAGTGAACTAATTGGGGTTGAGGAGGACGTACCCATCTCACAACACATTAACCTTTGTCTTTAGCTGGCAGGATCCTTTACCCAACACCTCAGTAAAAGGAAACCTAGGCTTTGAGGAGAGACCTGGTATAAAAATAGGTTAGAACACTCCAGGGCTCCCAGCTAACTTGGAAATGTTGACAAAGGCTTTGCAATGCCCTGTATTTTGGGGTGGGAGGGCCAGGGACGTTGGCAAGAACTGGGACCAGGAGACAGGGCATTAAGGCTCAAGTGCACCTGGCTAGGCATAAACTTCCTGCCTAGAAGTTAAAACCAGACAGTAGCACTCAGAGCTTGTTTTGTTATCCTTTGTGTCTAGTGGGATGGGGTCCTGAGTGCTATGAGCTGCTCAGGGATCCTCTGGCTTCCATAGACCAACTTTCTCCTCAGGACCTCCTTGGTTCTTGTGGGCAGACTGGGATGAGCATGTCACCAGCTTTGCTTGGTGCCACACTGTCCTGAAGGTTCTGAAGGAGACTGAGGTCACCGGGCCATCTGGGCAGATAGAGCTGCCAGAGCTAGGATACCACGGGGCCTGGAAACAAGCCTGGGCCCCTCCCTTGGGTGGGCCTGTTATCAAGGTTGTTTTGCTCTGCAGATGGTCACGGGGCCTCATTTCCCAGCAGCTACCCCCATCAGCCCTGAGCCCTTTGGGACACAGGCAGACACGGGAGGTTGGCATTTAGAGAACACAGGTTAGGAAAGAGATGGGCTGGTTCTCTGGACACATGAGCCAAGAAATTGGCCTAAGGCAGACCTTGGCCAAGCCCACTCACAGTAGCCTGCTTTAGGAGTAATTTGTAAAAGCTGAAAGTTTGGGGTGAACAAAGGGGCAATTACTAAAACAAACTGTGCTATGTTTTAGGCCATGTAGCCATTTACAAATCAGAGTGACCACATCCTGCCCTTCAGGGCAGGATTGGGCATTGATGTGTAGGCAGAGCCACCTCTGCATAGGGAGCTCTGACTCAACGGTGGAACAGAGGGTCCAAAGGCTTGCCCTTCATAAAAGGGCAAGGGCTTTAATTGACCTGAGGGTGTGAGGTTACAGGGAGCAGTACCTGAGATGATGGTCAGTGCTGATCTTTGGTGGCAGCCCTCACAAAGTGGTCACAGGAAGGTGCCTTAGGGTTCCCTTGAGCACCCTTTCTGACTATTTGCGTGCCTGGGACCACACCCAGGGCAGGAACAGAGAGCTGACAAACTCAAGTGTGCCCAGAATTGCCCTTTACTTGGGAAAAGCTCTTGGCTGTGCAAAGTGCAAATAAACTGAGTCTGATTGAGATAACTGATTACCACTGGGTCAAGCAGCAGCACATCTCTGCCTCCCAGTCTACACTCACTCTGCCTCACCAGGCCTCTGAGATGGCGCTGCCTGCACGGTTCAGTGTTCTTTCTCACAGTTTTGCTAAGCAGATGGCTACACTCACCTAAGTGAGGTGCGTGCATAGTGGCTGTGCCGTAGCTCTGCATGAAGGCTTGGCCTTCCTCTGTCACATGAGCTTCCAGCTCCAGGGCCTCTGCCCATGCTATTTCCAGTGTCCACGTGCCCTCTTTAGCTTATTCTGTCACAATGCAACCCATCCTCAAAGGCCCAGCTGCACAGTCCATTAAACCTTCTGAAAGTTAAGCTCTTTCCCCAAATAGCTGCAGCACATTGTGGGAACTTCTAGGCTTTTATTTGTAGTCATTTCCATCTTCAGGGCCCACACACCAAATACTCCCGGTGAGCTTATTAAAGTGGTGTCCCCTGGACAACAGTTCATCATTACCTCCTGAAAGAGCAAATATAGATTGAGTTTCTGTGTGCCCGGCGTAGCTAGGAATTTTCAAATGCACCTCATTGAAGTGTAACCCTGGGAGGTGGGTTTATTATCCAATGAGGAACAAATCAGAGAAGCCCAGTAACTTGTCCGAAGTTATACAGCTAGTGAAGAAGTCAGAATTCAAACTCAGGTTAGTCTGAACCCAAAGCCAGGGTTTCTTCCCTTATAAACAGATACAAATAACAATCATTTATCATTTACATGGTTTTCTTACATAATTTCATTTGATCCTCACAACAGCCCTGTGAGGTAGGTAGGGTTATGTATTACTATTATGTGCATTTCACAGATGAAGAAACAGGTGGCTCAGAGAGGTGACTGACCTGCATAAAGTCACACAGCACATAAGTGGCTTCATAGGTCCTGTACTTTCTCTTAAGTCAAGCTGCTTGAATTAAGAAGCACCGAAAAGATGGAGAAAAGAAATTTTATGGAGATGGAAAAAGGGCAGTGATCATTTATGAGATTTCTTCCTTAAACTGTTTTGTTGTGGTCATAGCTTCCATTGGAGTATCATTGGCCTGCGGGCCTGAAGCAGCTGTCAGAAACTCTTGGGTCCCACTGTAGAGGGAAAAAGAATGTGGCCTTGCCATGGCCCTGTATACAAGCTCCCTACTCCGAGAACATATTATGGGAAGACCTTTCCTTGACCCACCTCTCATGGGCGCCTGTGCCACTAGTCTTTCCTGGCTTTGTCTGGGGACCCTTACCCAGTGGGGAAGATTCTGAGACTCTCAAAGCCACACTCACCCTAGAGATGAATCATGATGCGCAGTTTTGAAGCCTGCACTGCTCATCACCCCCTGGAAGTAGTGGCTTGAGGTGTTTGCCCTGGATCTCACCCCAAGAGGTCCATGATCTGGCTATAACCAGACACAGTGCTACAGGGGAAGGCCACCTCCTTCAGAGCAGTGTCTCAGGGATGGGCACTTAGTCCAAGGGCAGTGTTATGGGTTCAGGCCACTTTTGGGCTCCTCGCTGCACACTGCTTTCCAAAACCCTGCTCTCCTTCCTCTAGAAGCACTTCCTCAGGGGCGGCAAATCTTCATCCTCCAATAAAAGATGGTCAGAGGGTATCTGGAGTTGTGGCTATCGAGGAAGGTGGGTGACATGGGGGTCACAAAAGAGGCAAAGCCGTAACAAAATGTGGTAGATTTGCAGGGGATGGAAGAGGTCTAACCTTGTTCTGAAGACAGATCCCAAAGGGGAATCCTAATAATTTCTGGTCTCTCAAGGTGACTATTTTGAAAGAGAAAATACCTATTTGGATGAGAAGAACCAGAAAGTAGAACCAATACCAGAAAATGGGAGTGGAAGGGCAGGCAGATTTTGGCTCAATATAAGAACATTCTAATAGCCAGTACTAGCCAACCACAGCGGGGCCTGCCTTAGGGATGATGAGCTTCCTGTCATTGGAGGTATGTAAGCAGAGATAAGTGATTGCTTGAAGGTACTGGGGAGAGGAACTGATCCCCAAATGTCTTGGGGTATGCTTGAGTGAGGGAGGACTAAGTGACTGTTGAATTATTTTCCAACCCTGAGAGTCCATAATATATTTGTTTAAAATAACTTGTTCCAATGATACCTTAAATTCTTGGGGAAAGGATTATAAAAGTAATGTAACAGGCCATAGTATGAAGTGCCTTTCATTGCACTGGCTCCAGATTTTCAAGCCTTCACAGGGACAGAAGCCCATTTCTGAAGCCAAAAATCTCCTAGTGCTTAGAGTTGATCCAGTCAAAAGGGATATCCCCGCCGAGACCGGTTTGGCTCAGTTGGTCTGCGGACTGAAGGGTCCCGGGTTCGATTCCGGTCAAGGGCATGTACGTTGGTTGCGGGCACATCCCCGGTGGGGGGCGTGCAGGAGGCGGCTGGTCAATGTTTCTCTCTCATCGACGTTTCTGGCTGTCTCTCTCCCTTCCTCTCTGTAAAAAATCAATAAAATATATTAAAAAAAAAAAAAAAAAAAAGGGATATCCCCATCTTCTGACCCTGCATGGATGCTCACTCCTTTAGGCCAGAGTCACCAACCTTTTGGACCTCACGGACCACTGGTTGGTGACCGCTGCTCTAGGCAATGCCACAACTCAAATCTCTCATCCAGTGGGCTAATACAACTTTGAGAACATACTACTTTTCCAAGCTAGTTAAACATGGTCGCTCTTGGGCAAATAAATCCAAGACCTGGCTGCATTGTCAAGATGGAGGAGCAGGGGTGGTGGGGATCTCTGGGAAGTTTATCCTGGGAACCTGAAGGGAGCATCTCACCTCATTCCCTTATTCAGATGGGTAAGTGAGGCACTGCTTAGTTATATAGAGAGAGATGGAGTCCATCTCAGAAATGCTGCTCTTTTGTCTAGCCAGAAAGTCCTCCTGTGCCCTCCTTTAGGACACATCAGCAGACTCTTCACCTGTCTTAACAGACTGCCCATCTCCAGCTCAAAATGGCAAGAAAACAGGTGGCTCTGTTGAGAGGACACATGGATTCCTACAAGTGGACTGTATCATCGGGGGAATTAAGTCCTGCTATGTGATTAATACAGATTAGTAGAGTGCCTTGGCTCATACCATTGGTGAGACGCTCTGACATGGATCTTCTTGGGAATCCCCCTCCAGTGTGGCTGGTGTCCTTTTACCTGTACCGTATTAACCGAATAATCTTATTGCTCATAAAATCTAGAGCGTGCGGATGAGAGGAATCGATGCAGAAGCCGTCACTTAGAGCAATTTTCAACACCTCCTCCACAAAGACCTGGAAGCTATTGATCTGCTTGTTGGATGGCACCACCCAGAGCCTCTTGAGGTTCTGCTTGGTGTACTCCTCCTCTGGCAGGCCCTCCACATTGGCCACCCAGTCCAGAGTCAGGTGGTTGGGGTCCTGCAAGTGACTGGTGATGGAGGAGAGATTGCCATTAGAGCAGTAAAAGAGCTTGGAGCCGAGGAGCTTGAGGAAGAGGCAGGAGGTGCTGAAGATGTTGGCGTTGAAGACCTCCATGCTGGAGGAGGAGAGGCTGTAGATCTGGGGTGCCTCGCGCACGGTGAAATGGACCGTCTGCACTCGCTGGTTCAGCGTGATGTTGAGCATAGCATTCTTCTCCGCCTTGGAGAGCTCCACCTCCTTCTCCTGCAGCGCCTTGATCAGGGGCTGCACCTGGTAGAAGTCAGCCTCCCTGCGGAGCAGGCCCATCTCCTGGAAGTCCTCGGGCAGGTCCAGGTGGGAGGTCCGCAGGAAGTTGAGGATGTAGCGGAACACTTTGCCATCACGGTCAATGAAGCAGTTGCCCTGGCTGTCCCTCTTGGTGGGCATCTTCCCGCTGAACATGGCACCCAGCATGGAGTCGGGGAAGCTGGTCAAGGTTGCCAGTGAGGTTGTGTAGAGCTTTCCGCCGACATTCAGTGTGATGGGGTCGGACATGGCAGGAGACCAGGGTGCTGGGAAGTAGTCCTAGAGAGGGAGAAAAAGTGAGAAATGACCATCAACCAACCACAGCTGGTGTCTTAGTTTGTTGGAGCTGGTACAGCAGAATACCATGGACTGGATGACAGTTCTGGAGGCTGGAAGTCCAAGATCAAGATGTGGACCGATTTGGTGTCTTCCTGCTGCGTCCTCACGTTACAGAAGGGACAAAAGAGAGATCTTTTTTATATGGGTACTAATCTTGTTCTGTACTCTCATGACCTCATCGCCTCCCAAAGGTCCAATCTCCTTATGCCATCACATTGGAGGATAGGATTTCAACCTGAATTTTTGGGAATACAAACATTCAGCCCATAACGTCTGGGTAGTCACAGTTTTCAAGTCCTTATTATAAATCAAGTCCTTGAGGTAGAAATGAATGCTTAATGAACAAATGATTGGGTGATAACTGCCACACTGTCTAAAGCATATTTAAAAAAAAGTTAGTTACAAAAAAGAAGAAAAAGAAAAAATGAAACCTGAGTCCGACCTTTCAGAGATTGTTTTAATTGTTCAGGAAAGTGCCCTCAGTAATTGTAAATGTTCATTTAGGACAGAGAACCACTTGTCTAAGGAAAGAAAGGAGATGTCCCAGAAATGAATGCCGTGCTGCCTTTCTTACATTTGCTTATGTATCTTTTGACACAAACAATACCACCATCCATCTTGTGCAGATGAGGAAAACTGCCTGGATTCATTCCTCAGGCTCAGACAGGTGAAGGGCCATGCCAGGATTTAAACCCAGGTCCCTTTATATGAGAGAGAAAATGGTGTACAGGCTTACTAGTTGAAAGACTGGTATACTCTAATTCTAATACTTAACAAATGCTCTGAGACTTATACTCCTGGTACTCCTTCTGCTGTATTAATGTTGCCTTCTTGTTTAATTTTTTTTTTCTATCTCAAAAAATTGACAACAAATGGCTATGATCAGTGCCATTGCCATCTATCTACCAGGCCCAAATGGTTCACTCGGCCCCTTGGACTCTAAATGACACTTTTTTCTGGACTCTCCTCCTCCTGGAACAAATGGCCTTGCCATGAAGATGCACTTGGCTCCTGGTGCCTGCCCTTTCCTGTCATGGCTGCACGCCAGCCTCCTCTGAAACTTCTTTGGAGGTCAGTGCAGATGTGGAGTCTGCCACAGAGCATCCTTCCCAAAGGCTCTTTGCCTTTTTTAACAGAGCCTCCCTACCCTACTGATCTCACGGCCTCCAGCGTCTTCTTCAACCTGAAGTCTTACATTGTAAACCTTCTCTTTAAGGTTTTAGAAAGTGGGGGTACGGGATAGGATGAGGGGGTGTACTGTCTTCTGCTTCCAACATACTTTCCCAAGAGCCAGTCTATGGGACAGATCCAGCAGTCTTTCCATGATGTGAGCGGCATAGAGAGGAATTGACTCCAGTACTGACCTTGAGAAGAGCCCAGGCTGGTGGGGGAGACTGAGACAAGAGGCAGTGAGGGTGCAGTGCCAGGGGAGATGTAACCAGGCACTATGGGAGTAGATTGTGAATGAGTCCTTAGCACTCTTACTATCTAGATGGGAAAACAGAGGTCTGAGAAGGGACTTCTCCAACATCATTCAGCAGGGGTGGTGGATAGGCCAGAGTACCTCTCATCATGTCTGCTTTCAGAGGAGGCTGCACAGCCCACCACTCTGAGGATGGACAAGATGCTTGGCTGCCCCACCCTATTGTCTTGGGAGAGGGGGTGCCCTCGTGATTGCATCCCTGTCTAGTGGGGCACTTGGATACAGCAGAAAGGCATTAACCATCTGGAGTGTCTGAAGAGGAACAAGCTGATGATGAAGTTATAAAATCGTCAGCAGCAGCCTGAAGTAGATGGGCCGTGAGACAGTGGAGAGTCCCAACAGAGATGGGTGGGGTGAGGAGGGGACAGCTGCTGTGTGGAGCCCTGCAGTGGGGAAGGTGCCAATTCTCTCCAGAGGGCTCAGGCAGGAGCCCTGGAACAGGCTACCCCCTTCCTCATTCCAGAACCGCTGTTTCTTTCTAGGGAGTAATTTGCATATTACTGAAAACTTTCTAGTTTTCAGTCTCTATTTAAGACTCTGTGAAGTGGCTCAGCTGAGAGGCTAGACTGTCTTTCCTGACAGTTCTGTCGGTCACAGACTACATACCTCTGTGCATTAGTGCTGGGGGTGGAGGAGACAGATAACAGCCACAGACATACCTGGGGAGCCTTGGGTGGGCACTCAAACTACTGTTTTTCTTGCAAAAGCGACAGCACTTGTCTTCCTGTCCCCTGCTCTCCCCAAGCCTCCCCAGCTGTGTGGCTCCTAGTGATGTGTCTAGCTGCACAGTCAGTAGGGGCAGAGACTGGTTGAAGGGGAGGTCTCCTAGGGTGCTCTCTGTGGTATTCTCTTCATACCCATGAGTCATAGAACCCAGTCTTTCAAGCCCCTACTTTCTAGTGGCAGCACCATGATGTCCACCATCATAAAGCTCAGGCCCCATTGTGAAAGGCACAGTGACACAAGGGGCAGGAACTGGTACCTCTGCGGGGTGAGGAGCTACATGAGTGTGGCAGAGCGTTTGTGGTCCGTGGGGATGAACTAACGTCACTGAGCTACAGCCCAGTGTTTACCCAGCTGCCTGCTGGACGTCTCCACTTGAAAATTCTACAGGCACCAGAGGCCCAACAGAATCCCTCTTTCCCCAAATCTGCTGTGAACTTTTCTCAGCTACCCAGCTGTCTGAACCTGGGAGGCAGTCCTGACTTCTCATCCCTAGAGTTTTTCTTGTCTGTCTGCTTGAACCCATCCCTACATCTACTTCTAGAGCTCAGGCCTTATCCCCTCTTCACGTATATCCTCACTTGGCTCTTTTTGCCCACCTTCCATTTAGTCTGCAGATTGATCTTCCTGAAACACTACTGCCAGCCCAAATGACTTAGTTTTTTCGCTCTCACCTCTAACCCTGTCCCTCCCCCTACTCTATGCTCTGTCTGCTAGGCACCACAGCACACACCCTCACACCATCACCTGCCTTGCTTTTTGCTCTCCTTACAGCCCTTTTCTCTACGTTCTCTGCTGTCAACCTTTAAGGCCCTGCCTGTGAGTCACTGCCTCTCTGTAAGGCTATCCCCAAATCTCCAGGAGGCTAGTAGCTCTGTCCTTGAGGCTTCAAGTTTCCTGAAACAGCCCTCTCCAGCAATGCCCATCATTCCATCATGTTATGCTCTGCTTTGCACATGGCCCTCCTTCCTGGCTTTTTCAAGATGCAGACCACTGGACACATCCATATGTGACAAACGGACCTTAACCCATACTTGCACCACACACAAACAATTCAAAATAGATAAGGAACCTAGGTATAAAGTCATCTTAAACTATAAAATTTCTAGGAGAAAATATTTGTGATTTTTGGATTAGGCAAAGATTTCTTGGATAGGACCCAAAGGTACAAAACATAAAAAAAACTGGCAAATTGGACTTCATCCAAATGAAAACCTCTTCAAAAGACACTGTTAAGAAAGTGAAAATAAGACAGAGGGGAAAAAATATTTGAAAAATACTTATCTGATAAAGGATTGTTAACCAGAATATAAAAAGAACTCTCAAAACTCAATAAGAAAACAGACAACCCAATTTAAAAAATGGGTAAAAAAGCTGAACAAACATTTCAACAAAAAAGGCACATAGATGATAAATACATGAAAAAATGGTCAACATCATTGGTCATTAGAGATATGAAGATTAAGTCATGAAGATTAAGATACTACTACATAACTATTAAAATGGCTCAAATAAAAAAATCTGACAGCCGAAACTGGTTTGGCTCAGTGGTAGAGCGTCGGTCTGCAGACTAAAAGGTCCCGGGTTCGATTCCGGTCAAGGGCATGTACGTTGGCTGCGGCTGATCGATGTTTCTCTCTCATCAATGTTTCTGGCTCTCTATTTCTCTCCCTTCCTCTCTGTAAAAAATCAATGAAATATATTTTTTTAAAATCTGACAATGCCTAATGCAGCAACAGAAGCCCTAAGACATTACTGGTGAGAATGCAAAATGGCACAACTGCTGTGGGAAATAGTTTGGCAGAGCTCTCACAATCCCACTCCCAGTTATTTATTCCAAAAAAATGAAAACATATGTCCATGTAAAAGCCTGTATATGAATGATTATAGCAACTTTATTCATATTTGTCCCACCTGGGAACAACTAAGATATAAATGGATAAACAAATTGTGAGACATCCATATAATGGAGTATGACTCAGCAATATAAAGGAACTAGCTACAACACTTACCACACATAGAAAAATCTCAAAAGCATTATGCCAAGTGAAAACAGCCAGCCTCAAAAGGTTACACGGTGTGTGATTCTATTTATATAATATCCTGGAAAAAGTAAAACTATAGAGACAGAAGTCAGATGTGTGATCTGTAGGGGCTGGGTTAGGGAGAAGAGTGGCTATGTAAAGGCAGTTACCAAATTCAAGCAAAGGAGATGGGATTCACATCCAAAGCTCTGTCTCCCCAAAAGTGAGCCTAGTCATTGCTTATGTACACTATTTGGTTAGTTACATGTTGCTTTCTTCCTTGCAGTTAGCTAAACTTATCCTATTGGGTTAGGGTCAAGCTCCTCTGGTTACAACTGCATCTGCACACTACTGTGCTACATTTTGACATTGAGCAAGAATAGCATTGAGTTAGAACTGCCCAGACCTTCATATCCTTGTCCTATCTAACAACCTGAGGGAATATTTTGGAGTGATGGAAATAGTCTATCGTCTTGATGTGTGGCCAAATGACTGTATGAAGATTTTAAAAATTAATATAACTGTATACTTAAAAAAGAGTAAATTTTACTGAATATAAATTATACCTTAATAAACCTGAAAAAAATCAAGATTGTGATTGTGTCATGAAATCTATACAGTGGATTATGACCAGTTGTGTGTGTGTGTGTGTGTGTGTGTGTGTGTGTGTGTGTGTGTGTATATATATATATATATATATATATATATAT